GTGCTGCTGCTGCTGCTGCTGCTGCTGCTGCTGTTGCTGGTTTTCCGTCGTCCTCGTCCTCATCCTCGTTCTCGTTCTCCTCCTATCCCTCCTCGCCCCAGATGTGGATCGCGGGGGAATCGCAGAAAACGTCATGGACGCAAGCCCTACCTCGCCCCGTCGAAGAGCCGCGGCCGCGCCGCCGCGAGCCACGGGGATCGCAGATCGGATGAGCGCTGGGGCGGGGGCTGCTTGGCCAACATCGCCATCTTCGCCTGCGCGCGTACCGAGCTTAGCATGGAGGGAGCTCGTCATGGGGCTAGGAAGGAGGAGAAAAGGGGATGACAAGCGTGGCGAAGGAGAAACGTGGAGGAGGAGGGGGTGGAGGAGGAGAAGCGTGGCGGAGGAGGAGAAGAGGAGGAGAAGGAAGAGGAGGACAGGAGGAGAAGGAATGGAATGGAATGGAATAGGATGGAATTGAATGGAATGCCCATGGGGGGAGCGCACCGCACTAAATAATCTCAGCTTGAATAATCAAACTGGGATACGAATCGGGGAGAAGGTGGTGAGAGAGGAAAAAACCTTCAGATGACACCCGAAAACTATCCCCTGGATTGAACGTCTCGAATGCTCACCCACACTCGAATCCGCTCAACCAAAGCTTTCATACGCTGCTCATAGTAAGTGACCGCCTCTGACGCCGAAAAACTCGTTGGAACATTCGTGGCAGTAGAGGTCTGGAGGCTCCGGCGGGACACGGCGCAGCCTCGAGACAGGAAGCACCTCGTCCAACGCCTGGGCCACACGACGGTTGGGGCACCTACCTTGCCTCACCATGGCCAGGACCTCTATGCCTTTACGAGTCGGGGGCTGACAGGGGCGGCCTAGTTTCTCAAGCTTAGCTTGGGACCAACCGCCACACTTCAGGCACGCTACGGTTTGCTCTCGAACGGTGCAGACAGCAGGGTCACCCCCAGCTTCTCGAGCCAGTCCAGTCGTGGCGATGAGAGAATGGCCAAGGGGGTTCGAGAGCAATCTACTGATGTGACTGGACACGCCTTTACAACCATCCAAGGGGACTCCGTCTGGCGATCCTTCCGCGACCAGCAGATAACGTGCGCACTGCAATCCGAAGTCTCCCTGCTGCCATAAATGCCAACTGGTCTGCCGCCTTGAGCGGCCCGATCGAAAACGCACCGGCCTCTTCCACCTTACCTCACTGGGGGACAGCGGGAGGATGTGCGCAGCTTGTTTCATGAAACTCTGGGCATGTGTGGCTGCAATATTCACGCTGGAGATGAAATCTGGATCTCGCGCAGGGTGAAGGACAGCGCTGCTTTCGCTTGCCTATCTACGGCCGCGTTAGCTACGGCAAATAAACGATCGAGTCCCTCGAGCTGCGCCATTTCTTCTTCAGTCCTGTGAGCTTGCACATGGCGCACTGTGTGTATGAGAGGCGTTCCCCCAATCCCTGCGCAAAAAGTCTGACACCTGCAAACTTGCTGGATGCCGCTAGCTGCCTCGAGATATCTTGCTGGGCTATGAAAATGGCGGCCTTGCAGTCCGAAGCTAGCTCAGCTGGCCTGCTCGCGACTTGGCCGCAGATCGCGATCCCGACGTGTTCTGCCATAGCGGGTGTCTGTGGCAAAGCGCCACGAACTATCCCGCGCATGAAAGCTACTGGATCTTCCGCTACGTCGGGGCAGACTCAGGTGGACCAGGAAGTTCTCTCCGACGGGCTCAGCAACGGTCTGCTCCCTGATCCGTCAGAAGCCAGGCGAAGCGGTGCATTAGTCGTGAGCGAGGCTATCATTTCAGGGTCAACCTCTAGTGAGCTGCCGTGCTGATCCAACACCTCAGCCTCAGACGAAACCGACTGACGCGGCAACTCACTATCTTGATACGTGAAAATGCCCGTGGTGAAAATCAAGTGTTCGGGCTCCGCTTGGGCCGCAGAAGTAAAATCTGGCGATACTGCCGCAGCCTCCCTAGCTTCCAAGACTTTTGGTAACTGACAGCAGTAGTGTGTCCCTCTCTCCACACTCGCAGAGCCCATCACACAGGCATCCCGCCCTCTCAGCACGATCTTTGGTCCACAATATTTGGCAACCACAGCTCCTAATGAGATACTTCAAGAATCTACTGAAACGCTTGGCTTTCGGACCGACAACTTTTCGGACCAGGTCCAGCGTGGCACGAGTCCCAGGAGCGAGGCCATGCCTCTGGACCAAAAGAAATTCGCGCTGCATTTGCACACCTTGCCTGCCTTTAAAAGGGACGGCGGGGTCTGAGTTAAATCGACTTCGAGATCATTGTGGTCTACCCATCTGAAGGGTCCACGATGATTCCAGCCCGCACGGGCCAAGCACAAACAAGCACGAGACACTGGGCCCCTGGACTCACGCCATGATCTGCACAGCTCGGGTTGGCAGAGCTCCCAGAGGAGGAGAAGGAGGAGGAGGAGGAAAGGGAGAAGTGAGAATAGGGAGATCGAGTAGGAGATCGAGCTGGTCCCGGAAGAGACGGGGCCGTGGAAATGTCCCGCTCCCCGCGGGCCCCTCTTGGGCCCTCCGCAAATCCAAGGAGCCGTCCCAGGGGTCCAAGGCCAGCCGTGTTCGGGGCCCCCCCTTGTCATGGGGCGACGAGGGGCGCCTCGAGCCGAGGGAACGGCGGCTGGGGGGTGCCTCTGACCACCCACCAAGCCACCCCAACCCAACCCGAAGTCGCCGCTGGTCCTGCAAATGTCCTGTGGGGGAACATTCTGGAACATCGAGGAAACACACTGGAACCCGTGCTCAACCCGACATTTAGGAGGTGGGCTGGGACCTTCGAGTTGGGTTGGGGTGGTTTGGTGAGTAGTGAGCCTCTGGCGCGGGCAGCGGCACAAGAACAAGAGGCTACATACGCAAAAGCTGGTGGAGGGCCGCTGGGGCCCCCTGGCGGCGCTTCTGGCGCCGCCCGCTCCGTGGAAGCTCTGAGTGCCACGGGGGTGGGGGGGGGCTCAAATGCGACCCCAACCCAGGCAATCCGCGCAGACATCCGAGAATCTGCGTTCACTGCTTTGGGCTGCCCCTCACTGTGGGGAGTGGCGAGGGGTGCGGCCTCCCGAGGAGGCAGGGGTGTCTTCTCGGAGGAGGTCGGAGGGCCTCTGAAAAGGGCTTCTCGGAGGGGCTTCCACCAAGGAGCCCCCCTGCCCTCCTCTCCGGGCCGAAAAAACAAGGGAGGATAGCGAATGCGATGCATGCAGGCGGGTCTGCCCGGCGCCTCCAGCGCCGATGTATCATGGAAACTGACAGGCGGCGGGGCCGAAACCAGCTGCATGCAGCAATTTTCGTAACGACTCACGCATGCGTCCCCGCAAAATCCTCGACGATTCCAGGCCCACGCTAAGGCCACGTTGACGCCGTCGCGGCGACGGTCTGAACATGCTCAAAAGGAGCGAGTCCAGCGCCAGGGCCTCGAAACAAAAACATGCGCGATTCCCGCGTAGTCTTCGAGGAATCCCAGCGCGTGTTGGGGCCACGTAGACGCCATGTCGAGGCCCTCGGGGCGAGGGCCTCAATGTACCCCAGCGTGATTCCTGTGTACTGTTCAAGAACTCCCCGCGCATGTTGACGCCGTGTCGAGGCCCTCAAACTAAAGCCACATTCCCGCATTGTCCTCGAGGATGCCTCGCGCATGTTGAGGCCCTGCCGACGCTGTTTATTGCAATACTTCACGGGGGCTCATTGGGGCCTCAACATGCAACATGCACGGCAGCCCAAGGGAACAGCCGCACACATGGCCCGCTGCTACAAACCAGTATTGTAGCATGGCAGGTCTCCTTAAGCTGACCTCCCTGGGGTGGAGGACAAGCGCCGATTGGTACATGGGATTCGTCCTCGCAACCAAGCGCAGCGAAGGTGGCCGCCGCCAGTGCCACCCATTTTTCGAAATTACACTTAGTATTGAAAGCTGCGTTGGGAAAATGCTGCAGTCGCAGAAGAACAAAGAGGAAGAGCTACAATAGTTGTATAAGTTGCGGTAGCAATATCCAAAGAGTGTTACTAGCACTAATACTAGCAGTTGTGGTAGTAATACCAGCAGTAGTTACAGTCGCTGGGTCAATGGTAATGTTCAGTGTGCTGGTACTGGTAGTGGTGGTGGTGGTGGTGATTCCGACGCGCGAAACGGAGGCGCAACGCAAACCACGGCATTCTCACGAAAATGGTCGACTGCGCAAGCCGAATCGACTAGGCGGGCGCTGCAGACAACGACAGAGGGGCCGACATTGGTTTAAAAAAATACTGGTGATGCCCAACCGCGAGAGCGAGTGTTGTCGAAAACCGACAGCGGTCGCCGTTCGGCAGGCGACGTTTGACGCAAATGGACAACGTATGTGGAGACACCGACGGTAAGCCCGCTTCAACCTCGTTCCATTATTTCCATCCCACCTCGATCGCGCCGAAACTTCGGACGTCTCGGCCACCAAACCAATTCCTTCGCAGGCAGTCATAATATTGTTTGGGCCACTGCGCTGCGCACCCCCCGCAACATGTCAAGGCGGCGATGATTTAGAGTACGCGGGAACAGTCTCTGCGGCGACTGTGGCTCCAAGAACGCGGCTCGGGAATGCTGGACTTCAGCTGCCGCCCGTCGGAGAGCATATCCCTCCGTGTCGTTGTCCCCTGGCCTCGGGCCGTAGGTCGGCTCTCTTGCGGCCCCTCGGATGAATTTCGGGCAGCCCCAGAACGCTCTCAGCGAGGCGCAGCCGCTGAAGGCGTCCCGAGGCTGGGAAACAAGCGAAAGCATAGAAAAACGCCCGAAACGCTTCCCTCCTGAGCCTGTTCCAGACATGCGATGTCCCTGGACGCCCTGGCCGTTTTCCTGGAGCCGGCTTTTCATCCAGAGTCGTGTCTTGACTATCCCGAGGCCCAGCGAGGGCCCACAGAGGGCCGAAAACAACCCAAAACCGCCCGTCGTGATTTTCGTAACGACGCGAGCATGTCCTCATGGGCGCAAAACATACCAGTGTCCGGGGCCCCGCGGGCCAGGCCCCTGGGCAGCGACCCCGCGGATGCGGGGCGTCTCTTCGCGGATGCCCCGCGCGGAAGGCATCTGCAAGAGCGCGCATCCGCGGGATCGCGCCCCGGAATCCAGACCGCGGGGGCGCGGATACGGATGTCTTCGCCGCTCGTGATATCCGGGGTGGGCTCGGGCAGCTTGGGCTTGAGGGGCAACGATAGGGGGGGACTGGCATGGGAGGGGGAACGTCGGCCTGGAACCGGCGACACATCGCCGATGGATCGGCGACATGCCCCGATAGCAGATCCGCACATCCCTGCGCGGGGCGGGGCTATCAGACCCCCTTCTGCCCATCGCCCCCCTATCGTTGCCCCGCAGGCATCGCGCTCGCACCCTCGGCAGGCCGCCCCCAGTCGAGGCGCCGGGAGCGGCCGCGCAGCCACGGCGGGCGGCGGCGGCGGCGCCTGCGCCATGTAGTAGTGGGACCCCTCGCCGCCCATCTCGGCGGCGTGCTCCTGCCGCCCGCGGGCGCCGCACCCAGCCCCGACGACGCACCTTCTCGCACCCTCCCCCCCCCCTTCACATCTACGCCGACGCCCACGCCCATGCCCACACCACGCCCATGCCCACGCCCACGCCCCCACCCCCACCCCCACCCGCCTTCCAGGCACCGGAAATCTGAACCCCCCTTCCGCCCCCCCCCTCCCCCCTCGAGGGAGCAGGAGCGAGGGGTGAAAGGGGAGGGGGGCGGAGGGCCAGGAAAAGGAGGAGGCCGAGGCTGCGACTGACTACATCGAATCCCGAGGGAAACGCTCGCCAACACGGGCGCAAGGGAAGTGGGGGGCAACCAACCCCCACACCAGGCAAGAAGCAGCCCCCACCACGGAGCCAGAGGCCCCACGCCAGGTCCCCGAGAGCCTGGCCGCCAAGACCCCGCGCGAGAGGAGGAGGAGAAGGAGGAGGAGGAGCAAGAGGAGGAGGAGGAGGAGGAGGAGGAGGAGGGGGAGAGGAGGAGAGGAGGAGGAAAAGGAGAAGGAGGAGGCGAGGAGGAGGAGCAGGAGGAGGAGGAGGAGGAAGGGGAGGAAGAGGTAGGAGGAGGAGGAGGAGGAGGAGGAGAGGGAGGAGGAAAAGGAGGAGGAGGAGGAGGAGGAGGAGGGAGCGGGAGGAGGAGGGAAGGGGAGGCGGAGGGAGGAGGAGTAGGAGGAGGGAGGAGGAGGAGGAGGAGGAGGAGGAGGAGGAGGAGGAGGAGGAGGGAAAGGAGGAGGAGAGGGACTGATCCGATTTTGACTCGGGCAAGGAGCGCACCCCATCGGCGGACTGGCCTGGAGCAGCGAGTCTGGAGCGGGGGGGGCCGGGAGGAGGCGGAGGAGGAAGATCGATGAGAAGGGGTAACAGGGAGCAGGAGGAGGGGGATGATAAGGATGAGGATGAGGGTGAGGATAATAATGAGGATGAGGATAAGGATGAGGATGATGATGCTAATGAGGATGAGGATGAAAAAGAGGAAGATGCAGATGATCCTGGTGATACTGACGATGGTGATGATGCTGTTAATGTTGGTGGTGATGATGATGCTATGATGTTGGTGGTGGTGTTGATGATGCTGCTGACAAGTATAGTGATTGTGGCGATGATGATGATGATGATGATGATGATGACGATGATGATGACGATGATGGTGCTGATGGTGTTGATGATGATGATCATGGTGGTGGTGATGATGATGGTGCTGTCCGTGATGATGGTGACTCTGATGAACATGATGACAAGTGGTGTGGTGATGATGCTGGCGATGCTGCCAATGATGATGGCGATGATGATGATGGCGATGATGATGATGACGATGATGATGATGATGATGATGATGATGATGATGATGATGATGATGATTATTATGATGATGATGATGATGATGATGATTATGATGGTGATGAGAGTGATAGTGATCGTGATGGAGATGGTGATGGTGTTGGTGATGATGATGATGGTGATGATGGTGATGATGGTGAAACTGGTGATGATGATGATGATGATGATGATGATGATGATGATGATGATGATGATGATGATGATGATGGTGATGAGGATGAGGATGATGAGGATGAGGATGAGAACGATGACGATGATGGCGGTGGTGGCGATGACGGCAACAATGGTGGTAATATGAGTGCGTTGCAATAGACCTCGCAGTGCATGTGTAAAGGTACTCGCATTGCATTCGACAACGCATGGTCACTCCACACGGACCAATTGCACTGGCACATCTTAGTATATTGAGTCGGCATTGGCATGGCAAGACTAGTAAGAACACAAGAGGTAATCCCAAGATCCATTCCGCAGTAAGCCCAATCCAGGACCAGCAAGTCCGATTGCAGCCCCGGTTCAAGCCATGTTTAGCAGTGTTGTGGAAACAAGCGTGCTGCTTACAATATTATCTAATCGAGGCATCCGATTGAAACTTGAAGCGCATGCTGCTACCAACGCAGTTAAGCACACACGCTTCTCAACGAGGGAATCAATACACAACGCTGGGCGGTTCACAAAGGAGTCGCAGATGATACCGTCAAGTGTCAAAATGTGTTGTCGGAAGCGTTGTGACTGGGTGTTCACCACCAGCTGGTTCGTTCAGCTCTCAATTCGGAAGCCCCATGCAATCCACTGGCCCTGATTCCATGAATCATCCGCTGAAGTTCAACATCAGCTAACGACGCCTCATTGACTGGAACACGGCACATGGGAGAGCAGCATCACGAACCAGAGCGCTTCTGACTAGCACGACAAACAGAAGCACAACGTCATGATGGTACAAGCACCGATATTGTCTTAGTGCGGCTTGATGCGAGTTCGTCTGAAAAGCCGTCGCTGCAATGAATACCTTGTCAATGCCTGACTGAAGGCAGAATTGGTTTTAACGCACACCCTCTAACTAGAACCCCTTATTGAGCCAAAGTGGCTTGAACCAACGTGGCGATGGCCAGACACATCGGGGGACTGAGGAGGGCAGAGAGAGTCAGAGAGGGAAGAAGAGAGGGAGAGGGAGGGAAGGAGGGCGGGAGGGAGGGAGAAGGGAAGAGCGAGAGAGAGAGAGAGGCCAAGAGGGCAAGATTTTACCCAGTGAACCTTATTCGCCAAAAGGATGGGGATTCAGGGAAATTGGAATAAGAGCACCAGAAGCAAGAGGAGGACGAAGATTCGGAGGAGGAAGGCGTACCGATGAGCCGAAAGAGGATGAGGAGAAGGAATAAGAGGAGCATGGAAAGGAGGAAGGAGCAGGAGGATGTAGATCTGCCCGAGAGACACGACTCTCTTTCACACCCCCTCCAAGCTCAGAGCAAGCACTCAAAGGAGAACTCGATCGCAAAACAGAATACGGAGAGCTCGAGAGGGTGAGAGAGCCACGCCACTGCCCGCACTATCACCCAGGATCCACGCTTGCCGATTTGCAGATGGACACCTGGATAGGTAGACGCCTCAGGAGGTGATCAGAGCGGGAGGATTACCCGCCAGTCTGAAGAGGGTGGAAGCATGAAGTAAGAAGGCGGATAAAATAGATGGAGTTCGGGCCCGCCCAGAGAATCTAAAAAAAACTTCATCACGATTCTTGAAGAGTAGGAAGGCGCTTGAAGTAGGATGAGATTTGGGAATCCCACAGTACCTCCTTCCAACGAACGGCGTTTACGGATTCGGGCGTGCGCTACTTCAGTCTTGAGACCCCGACCACTTTGACGGCACCGCATGAGGAGAGAAAGTCCCCGCCCTCCCTCCCCTCGCGGGCCAGTCGGCGGCGCTCCAGTGCGGCAAGAGTCGGCTGCACACAAAAGTGACCCTACGCAAGAGTGACCTGGGGTGCGCGACTTTTGGGGGGCGCGAGTGGACCAAACACAAGCGCACAAGACTCTACTACGGTATCGTGTTCGGCGATCGGGGGACCCCACTGAGCCCGCACCATAGGTCACTCCGGCGAAAGGTCACTCCTACGTCTAGTCGAAAGAGAGAGGGTGGCGGTGGGGGACGGTGGGGTCCCGGGCCGCCTTGCGGCCAGGGCGCCGTCCCTCCCGACCTCTTGCACACGAGGCTCTCGATCGTCCTCCTCCATGTCGACCTCTCCTGAGATCCGTCGCGGCCCTCGGGAGCCGCACGGCCGCGGCCCTCGGGTGCGGCGCCATCCCCAAGGGCTGTTCCTCGTCTCGGACGGTCTCTGTAGCTCGTGTCCTCGTGTCCTCGACGGACTCCACTCCCGCGTCCATCCTTGCCTCCCTCCCTCCCTCCGTCCTCCCTCCTCCCTCTCGTCTCCCTCATGCATTCTTTATTCGACCCTTGGTTGAAGGCAGGCGCGATGCGGGGCATCACAGAAGGGAGCAAGCCCTAGGAAGCACTGGCATGCATGGGCCGGCATGTTGCTGATAACGGCAGGAGTGGCCACACTGCGGACCGAAGAGGGAGAGGGAGGAGGGAAGTAGGTAGGAGGAAAGAGGGAGGAGTGAAGAGCAAGGTGGTCTCAGATCTCAGGTCTACGAGCGATGCACCCACAAAGGTTCTCGCAGAGTGCAAGACGGTGAGCATAACGAATGCCCCCAGACAAGGGTAAATCATAAGAGTGACTCGTCAAGAGCTCACTCGCATGGAGATCCTTAGTTTCCGAGGAGCGTAGTTGAAGAACCTGCTTGGCGAAGATGAAAGAGGGGTGAAGGAAGACATTGATGGGGATGTGAACGCTTTTTGCCTGGCCCTCCTTCGCTCCACCATCCCCTTCTGCCCTTCTTCGCCCGCCGTCCGCTCACCGTAGTACACATGCAGAGTCGAGCGACAGACTGTGGGCTCGAGCACCTGGATACTTGACAGTGCGTCTTTAGACCCTTATCGAGCGCGTGACTCACGACTCTGAGAGGTTAGCCCGTTGCTCTGTGCCTGTACGGGATGAGACTGCCGAGGAGATCGCGGCCGAGCAGGCGAAGCGGCAATGCGAAACAGCACCGGAGGGGGGCCGAAAAGCAGCGGGCCAGCGGCGAGAGAGCGAGGGAGAAGGAGGGAGAGGCCGACACGGCAGCGGGCCCAGGGCTCGGCGCGCGAGGTGCGAGGAAGCGTGGGCGATGCGCTGAGATCCCTGGTGCAGGCTAGGAGCCGCTCGTTCTCTCTCTCTCTCTCTCGTTCTCCTTTCTCTCTCTCTCTCTCTCTCTCTCTCCCGTCTTTCCCTCTCTCTCTCTCTCTCTCTCTCTCTCGAGAGAGAGAGAGAGAGAGAACACTAAAAAAAACTTCGGGGCGCTGTTCGGGCCGTGCGAGAGGGTCAAGGTAACCTATGCAGGGAGAGCAGCCACTGCGGCATTTCGACGAGGTCCTACGTCGGGTGCATCCTGGCCCAGAGAGATGTCAGCGAACTCTTCGGGGCTACCAAGATGATGGGGGGAAGCTACAGTGCATTCTTCGGAACTGCTTCTCGAAGCATCATGGCGATGAAAATTGCGCCCGATAGTGGCAGGATGAAGCTGACGTGAACGCTGATCAATAACGCTTGCTTCTCGAGCCTTAGAGAGACTGGCCGTTGCAGAGGATGGCCGTCAGCAGTAGCAGTGCCTTGCTGGACAACGCCCTGGCTCAGACCGTGAAGTGCGGCTCACGTCGAAGTCTAGCTAGTGTTGGCGCGGTCGCGACGCGCGTCTGACTTGGGTGCGACGTGCTTTCGTGGTACCTCACGCAGTGCGGGTTGGTGTGCCCAGGCTTCAGGGAGCTGAAGCCAAAAGGGATATGCTCACAAATGGCGGGTCCAGCATGTTCTCTGTCTCTTCCGCGCCCGCTTTCAGCGGGTCTGGCGTGGTCTCTGGTTCTGCCGCGGCCGCATTCGGGGACGTCTCGGTCTCGGCCATTGCCAGGTCGCCACCCTCGGTGAAGCCTGGGAGTGCCACACACACACACACACACTGCAGAAAATCTGAACAGGCAGCACCAGAAGCTTCAACCACAATGGCTGCTTATGGAGCGGCTCGATGAAGTCAACTGAGATTCTTTAACCACTCAGTAATGCTACGGCTGAAAGACCGGCACATGCAATGCCTGAAGCTGATCGGGATGTCATTATCACAGAAATTGCTAGCGTGATACTGCAAAAAAAAATGAACAGAAGAAACAGGCTGGAACCCGTGTGAACGATGCCACCTCCTCAATACGCAAATTCGGCGCATGATGGTATGCTCCTTCGCCTTCCTTCTCCTTCCTCCCTCTCCCTGTCTATCCCCTCTCCACCTCCGTCCGTCTCCCCCTTGTCCCCTCGCCCTTTCCTCGCCCACTTGCGTTGGAAGAGATGTCGCAACGACAGTCCTATCTGCTTGCTGGAAACATACCAAATCCTGCCCAATGACCCAACTACGGTTTCGGATCGCTTGCGCGGACCATTGCGACACACCGCACGAAACGGAGCTGCCGCAACTCGTCCGACATCCTGCGAGGTGATAGCACTCGGCATGCAATAGCCGTCAATGCGGCGATCCTAATCTTCCTGAATGCCCGTGAATGTTCCGCGATTTTCCAGGGCGAGCCCTTGTCAACTCGCTACCTTCGTGAACGCGCTGTGCTTTGCTTTTGGTTCGTTGCTTCTTCGCTAGGTCCTCGATCTGAGCCCTTCGTGCGAGTTGCGCAGGCAGTAGCGGCATCAGAAAAGGCAGGAGGAACGATTCCGTCCTCCTCCTCCTCCTCTTCATTATCCTTGTCCTCCTCCTCCTCCTCCTCCTCCTCCTCCTCCTCCTCCTCCTCCTCCTCTTGCTCCTCCTCCTCATCCTCCTCATGATACCCAGTCTCTCATCCTCCACCTCTTCCCTCCCTGCTCCGTATAACCCCTCTGTTCGCACCACCAGCCATGCTGGTAGGGCAGCGATTTTGTTTCTCATACGACTTCCTCACCCGTTATGACCCTAAGTCCTGAAATTTACAACAACGACAAGCGACAAGGACGAAGGGCCTGTGAGTTTCAACATGTTGTTCTTGACTTGGGTGCTGTTTTTGACGTGGTAGTACTACAACTTGATAGTTCCATAGGTACACGCATATGAAGGTCAGCACCTTGGTAGACAAGACCTTCTCGCCTAAGACTACCTATGTCAAGTCGGTAAATGGATGGAGGGCAATTCCATTTCAAAACCATGCGCTCGCCTACTAATACACCCCAGCATTGCCGGGTCATCACGTGGAATACCAAGCAGCTTCACAAGTGGAGGGGCTGCTCTCTTTCGACGTTGTGCGCCAAATTGGATCCTCAATTTAGTTTTATTGCACCATTCGTGGTTCAACCAAGTGATAAATATATGGCGGCACCTTCTCGAAGTCGTCTCGATTCCGTGCTGCACACATGTTCATCAAATATTTTATCAACTACAAGGTCTGAAAGCAGCTCCATGCTAAGTAGCAGTGCTTCGCCACGTCTTGCGATTAGGCCTGAGCCAGGCCCGCCATGTACCATTCCAATCCAGCCAGGCCGGCCCCAGTCCCAGACCTCTGGTGGTGAGACCATCGGAGGGAGTATCACAGTTCTGGCCCTCCTGGGTCCTGAGCCAGTGGCACGCCCATGGGGCCGTCATCTTTCCAGCAGGCGGTCGCACGAGTGATGAGATGAGGCATACTTTGGAAGGGAACTTGGGACGGGGGGGCGATGCTAGAAACATTAACTGTCGGAGCTCATGTGTGCTGGGTTTTCTGCGGCCCCTCCTCCTTATCCTCGTCTCCCCTACCGCTCTTCATCACCTCCGTGTTCCTTCCTCATATGTCTCGTCCTGCTCCTTCTGTTGCACGGATGCCATTGCCCCTGCGGGCAAGCAGCCAGCTCCTGAACCATCTCGTTCACATGGTGCAGGTACCGGCTTTTCGCGACGTCACCAAGTACTGCATAACACCTGGAGGGATTCAGGAAGAGGGTAGAAACCAGGGGGAGGAGGAGGGAGTGAGGAGTTGGGAGGAGGAAGCCACTAAATGCACCCAACGAAACTCATCATGAGAGAAACTCCATCATGCTTGTCATACGCTCGACTGCACCAGGTGGTATCCGCGTCATCCCCTTGTCCTTGAAAATTGCGAGCGCACGGCTCATATGTAGATAGTGATGTGATCACTCTGACCCAAATATATCACATGCAAGAGCAGCAAGCTGACTTATGACGTAGATGCTCGAGTGAACATACAAGAAATCTTTGATGAGCAGCAGGTTGGCGACGACGTTGGTACATAATCTCTTGGATCAGTAAATACTTCTGCTTTGTCACCCCGTCGTAGAATAGCAAGGCCATCTCACAAGCAACTCGGAGCATGCGGACACGGTTTCCGCGATGCTCAGCCTGTGAGTAGCAAATTCAGTCCGACTTCGATGTCACCCGAGAGGCCGAGGTCCAGAACCCCGTGTCGAGAGACAGTCTGTGCTGAATATCCGAGCGTTGGCGTTGAAAATGCGGGCACTCTCCCCGAACATGGCGAAACGATGGTACCAAACGTCCACAATTCTCGCACGGATGTCCCGTGCGTCTCCGAGTCTCTGATGATACCGCTCCACTTCGGCATATCGAGATCAAAGTATGGTCTGACTCCTGCAAGAGCCATCCACTTAACAAACTGCTTGTGTGAACTCTGATCCACGTCCACGTCGTCAATCTCCTCAGCGTCGTGCCGATCACGCTGCACAATCTGGAGACATCTAACCCGTGCAATGAGACGTATGGTATGTAAAGCGGCCTCACATGAGGCCCAGAACCTCCACCTGTCGTCAACCAGGTGCTCCACCGCCTTGTGAACTCGCTGCTCATCCGCTGGACTCACTTCAAATAGCAAGCCCTGTCGTTCACTGTAACGAATGTACTTCAAACCAAGGACCTGCACATGATACGTCATACTCGTCTCCAAGAATCTTGACCAAGTTAGCTTCGTGCCCGTCACATTATTGATGGCAAGAATGGCACTCGAATAGACTGGATGCAACCATACGTTCTGGCACCATCACCTGCCCATACACCATTCTGACACGAAAACAATGTGGAAGAATACCAGCGCCTGGACCTGTGGGCCCGCCTGGCACGATTCCCGAAACCCTGTCAACGCTGGGCCACTCGTCGTGCGATCGCTCCCTGTATAGACATTCGTTGCAATATCCGATGTCCGTGGGCTCGCAAAAAACGACAGGTCGGGGACGCGCAAACTCGGGTCAAGACAAATCCAGGTCGGCCAGGGCCCTGTCGCGAAGCTGGGCCGGTCGCATGGTAGCTCCCAAACCCGAAACAGCGGAGGGCGGGGAGGGGGAATCGGCCCCACAAGGCTCCCAGACCAGGGTCAGCCAAAGTGGATTAGCTGAACCCCGTTAGCGCTGACCCCCGCTACGCGAGCCCCGAATAGCATCGCCCGCGGCAGCGCCGGCGTCGTGCGCAGAGAGTGCCACGAGAGACGATCCGTGGCGTCTCGCGCAGAGGGCGCCGGATTGCTGACCGTCAGACGGAACAAGTCGTTCCGTATCCCAACGCGCGCTCAACAAACTTTGAGCCTTTTTTTCCGATTGGTCATTGAGATTCAGGCGTCTCACGCACAGAGGCAAAAATGCGACCACTGCCATCCTAACCCTGGTCCTCCCACCCCTTCTCGTCCTCCTCCTCCTCCTCCTCCTCCTCCTCCTCCTCCTCCTCCTCCTCCTCCTCCTCCCCCTCCTCCGCCTCCTCCTCCTCCTCCTCCTCCTCCTCCTCCTCCTCCTCCTCATCATCATCATCATCATCATCAGCATCCCCCTCCTCCGCTTGCCTCCATCCGCCTACTTCGGCCTCCTCCCATTCCTGCTCTCTATTCACCCTCCTCATTACAATAATCAAGCGCACCACCACCAACACAACCAACGTCAGCATCCTCTTCCTCATCCTCCTCATGCTCCCCCCCTTCATCATCCTCATCATCATCCTCATCATCCTCATCCTCATCCTCCTCATCCTCCTCATCAGCATCAGCATCAGCATCAGCATCATCATCACCATCACCATCATCATCAGCATCATAATCATCGGTATCATCATCATCAACATCATCATTATCCTCATCCTCATCATCATCGTCATCGTCATCATCATCATCACCACCGTCATCAGCAGCAGTAGCAGCAGCATCATCCTCATCATCATTATCGTCGTCGCCATCAGTAGCAGCAGCATCAGCATCAGCATCCTCAGCATCCTCAGCATCATCATCATCAGCATCATCATCAGCAACATCACCATCAAAATCATCATCATCATCATCATCGTCATCGTCATCGTCATCACCATCAGCATCCTCATCCTCATCCGCATCCTCATCATCATCATCATGACAGCATCGTCACCATCATCGTCACCATCACCATCACCGTCACCATCATCATCACTACCATCAGCCTCCTTATCATCATCAGCATCACAACCAACACCATCCTCCTCATCATCAGCATAATCAGCATCGTCAGAATAATGATGTTTCATCATAACTGTTATCACAAACACAACCAACCTCATCATCAGCATAACAGTATCATCATCAGCAGCATCATCATAATCAGCATCATCATCAGCATCAGCAGCAGAATCGTCATCATCAGCAGCAGCATCATCAACGTCAGTACCATCAGCATCATCGTCGCTATGATCACCATCATCACCAACATCATCACCATCGTCATCATATTCATCATCATCATCATCATCATCATCAGCATCATCATCAACATCAGCATGTCATAGGCATCATCAGCAGCAGCAGCATCGTCATCATCATCAGTTTCATCGGTATCATCATCCCGAACTAGCATCAGCAACACCAGCAGCATCATCATCAGCATCGTCATGAGCATCATCATCATCATCATCATCAGCAGCAGCAGCAGCATCAACAGCATCACCATCACCATCAGCAAAAGCATCATCATCAGCATCATCATCAGCATCATCATCATTATCACCAGAACCAGCATCATCATTATCGTCAGCATCATCATTATCGTCATCAGCATTATCATCATCATAATCTACATCGTCATCGTTATCGTCAACAGCAGCAACATCCTTTTCCTCTTCCTCCTGAGCCCCGCACTGTGGGACCGATATGTCCTAGGCTTTCGGATCATGCCGTCTTAGGGGGCTCCAGTAACCGGGGTAACTGAAAAGGAGGGGAGGAGGAGGAATGGGAGGGCAGGCAAGGAGGAGGAAGAGGAAGAGGGGGGAGGAGGAGAAGGATGAAGAGGAGAGGTCATGTAACCCGTTCGCTGAAATCCTGAATCCCAGGAGGGGCATGGGAGGGGGAAGGGGAATAGTGGAGAGCCCCCCTCCCCAGGAGGTCTCTGGAGGCCACAAGCCTCCAGAGGTTTGTGGAAGCACGGAAAAGACAAGAAACGATTACGCGGGGGAGGGGAGGATGATGAGGAGGAGGGAAGCAAGGAAGGAAGGAGGAGGGAAGCAAGGAAGGAAGGAAGGAGAAGGAGAAGGAGAAGGAGGAACAGAAGGAGGAGGAGGAGGAGGAAGAGGAACGGGATAAGGAGGAGGGAGGAGGAGGAGAACGAGGGCGGTGGTGCTGGATGTGCTGCCCCAGACGTACTCCTTCCCCAACCCTTCAGGCCCCGTTGCCTCTCCGCGACGGGCAGATTGTAGTGCTCCATCGTCGCGTCGGCGAGAGATCTCCACATAGCCTCTGTCTCGGGCGTGAGGGGCAGCTCTTCCAGCAAGTCCACCGCCTTGCTGCCACTTCGCGCCAACACAGGACCCTCCTCTTTTCTCTCTTCGTTTACCTCTGCCTCGTCCTCATCCTCGTTATCCTCCGTCTCCTCCTCCTCTGGGCTTTGAGGGGGGTCCTCGTAGACACGGCTGGATCCGCCTCGCAAAATTGGTCAGAACGCGCTCCAGGAAAGGCCCGGGTGTCGACGACATTGGGGTCGGATGAAGGGGATCATTTCCTCCCAGGAAGATTTTGCTGCACATAGCGTTTTGCATCCCCGCATTAAGTTCAAGAGCTGGGTATGATGACGAAGCGGGATGACGTGGAGGAGGAAGAAGAAGAGGCGGCAGAGAAGGCAAAGGAGGCAGAGGAGGCAAAGAGATCAGGGGGGATAGGGAAAGAGAGAGGGAGGGAGCGAGGGCGGGGAGATAAATCTGGAAGGGGAGGGGGAAGGGGAGAGGGAGAGCAGGAAAGGGAAGAGAGGAAGGGGGGCGAAGAGGAGAGGAAGAGGATGACTATAAGTAAGGAGGAAGACAAGGGAGGGGCAGACGGGAAAAGAAAGGCCAGGAAAACGAAGGGGGGAAGAGGAACTTAGCCCCCCCATACCTGGATCACTGAAAAATCAACGGTGCACTGGAATCGCCGGGGAGGCAACCACGGAACAAGTTTTGGCGGGTCACGTTCCAACGTAAAATTAAGCCACGCAGCGCAGTTCGCAGCGGGAAGCACCAGTCGTGCAATCCCAGATTGGGGGCACACTGCGCAGGCCAAGGCGCAGGAAAGATGGCGGATGACAGGCGAGAGAAAAGCGCAGAAATCAGTGGGGCGA